GAAACACAGTTGCTTCTGGGAGGGAAAAAGGACAAGCACTGATTACCACCAAGGAAGAAGATATATAGGCAGGGAAGGAATTTAAAACTTCTTCCTTAGTGTGAATTAACTATACCATTGTCAGAGCTGGAATTTAACCACAACATCAAAGTTAATACCTCTGGCAGGTGGAAAAGGTTGGAATAGGCACGGCAAATGTTCTTGCTTAGCCAAAGCCTTATTTCAATTCATCTTCATAGAAGCCTTGGTGGTGTCAGAGAACTCCTGTCTCACACTACACTGGAGAGGCAGATCAGATCTTTCTGCACACTGATGGCACGAGGACCTGGCCCATCTGCATTGCCTTTTGATGTCCCAAAGGACTTCTTGAAGAATATTATCTGAAAACTTACATCAGCAGCACGATTTCTTCTGCCACTTCTTTTGCTTTTCACTTGCAGATTTATATGCCAAAGTAAAATAAATCCTGCTGCTTAAACTGAAAGCCTGTGCAAAACAAGAGCTGACTGCAACAACTTGATAAATGCTCCAGTCCAAGGCTGCTCCAATTCCTACCCTGGACCCGAGCACAAGACTGGCAGTGGGACCAGCGAGGCCCTGGGACACCCACAGCTGGGAGGCGTTGGCACAGTCAGATGTGACTGTCATGTGCTGCTTTGCCTACAAGATCATTGCACTTCACAGGAACCAGCTATTTCTCTTCTGCTGACTCATCTGCAGGCAATACTACTAAACTTTGTACTCTGCCAGCTGTCTGCAGAGAATTGCCTTGACACATGGACAGCATGTAAGCGGGAGCCTCAGGGGAAAAAGAAGAAGTCCTGTCACTTCAGATAATACCCTTGCCAGGCTATAAAGTAGCAAAGAGTCCCTGTATTCCTCCACATTCCTCAGTCACGGGTTGAAGAGAATCCTTTTCCCCCTGTTCTTCCCTATTTCCAATGCCCAGTTTACAAGTAACCTTACTGGCATGTACCCCTGTAGAGATCTGTTGTAGACAGAAAGACTTGGAAGAGGTTAGTGGCAAAAGACTCAGCATGGATCTCTTTTCAATCAGTGTTTAAAAATCTTGCCCAATCTCCAAGGCAACTTCATGCCCCGCCCAGGCTTGCCATGCCCACCTCTGTCCCAATCTCCAGACTCAGAGCATCTGCCTGGAAACAGAGTACTGCTGGCTGTGACCCAGCCTGTTCACCTCCAGAGACACTGTGATGCTCCTCACAGTTAGCATCTGCTCTATCTATGTGGTCTAAGTCCTTGAGACCCTTGCAAAGGTTACTGCAGGATCTGGCAGAGTCCTGTCTACACATAAAAGAGTCTGCTTCAGCTTCTCTGGATAAACAACAGCAGCTATCCTGCAGCATATTCACAGACACCTGAATGTATAAAAGGGATTCCAGTTCAGTCAGCGCAACACATCAGTCCAACAGCATCCAGACCTTCAATACACCAGCTAAAACAACCTCCCAGGCCTTGCCTCCCCTACTGATCTAGGCAGGCTGATAGCATTTTCTCAAGCAGAGCCTGAGAACGAACAAGTTCTGGTACCTGTATCCTGCAATAAATAAAAAGATGCTGCTTCTCACCAACTAAGTCCCCAATGGCTTAAGACAATTCTCCATAACACCACCACAACTGAAAAGAGTGCAGCGTGATCACCTTGGTAGTGCTGTGAACTAATACACACATAAAAAAGAAAAACTGCCTGCATGACCTTCTCTGTGAATTCATGGCCCTTATGGGTATACCATAACTCTAAGGCACTGAGTGTCCCACCACGCAACAGTCTCTGCTGTGGGTAGTGAAGCAGAAGATGTAGGGTTTATGCAGAGTATCAGAGATCTGGAGCCTGCCCTGGGACAATAAATTATGAGAATGGGTGGTCATTCCGTCCCAGCTTCTCCACTGTGTTTTGTTTTTAGGACTTAACCACAGAGCTTTTTGAGACTTCAGGTGTAAACTTCCTTGCATAGTTTTACACATCAATACCAATTCCTTGCTGCAACAGTTACTGTTTATGGATCTTTCCACAGTGATTTCAAGACAGTTACATCCGAGTCAGATCTTGGAGCAAGAAACTTCCAAGTCATGAATTTTAATAGTTAGCGGTATACAGCAAATTCCTTCAGGAAATAAAGCATGGGTACTTGTCATCTGAATTTCAGAAGCAAATACCACGGCTGTCCTCAGGCCCAGGAGTCCTGCAGATGGAAACTCAGTTGTACCTGTTCCTGACCACCCCAGCCCTTGCCAGCCGCTCACCACGGTCCTGGCTGCTGCAGCAGCACAGGGTGGGGACACAGGGAAGGCCACCTGCAGCATCCTGCACCTCCCTCCACAGCCAGCGAGGGCTACCTAGGAGCATCGCAGCTATCAGAATTCCTGAGGGCTTTAAAGTCTAAGTACAAACCCATTAATGAGCGCAGCCAGGGCTTTGGTGGACACCAAAAGCGGGTTAGAGAGGACGTGTGCCTGCGAAGCGGCTGGGTCACACCTTCCTTCGCCGCAGCCAAGGCCACCTCCTCATTGTCCTCTCTAGGCCGTGACTGTGTCCTCTAGGTCGGGGCACGTTCCCCAAAGCCCTCCTGCTCCAAACCCTGCGGGTGTACTCCAAAAGTTTCCCACAGCGTCTGCTGCTGCCTCCTCTCAGCCATCCCCGAGGAGCAGCCCCAAGGATCACGCCCGAGCCCCAGCCCCTGCCCAAGCCCCCACGAAGCTTGGCACCGCGACCACCCCAGCAGACACTGCCCTCTTGCCCAAAGCCAGTGCCCCGTGTCCCGGCCGACCAGCACCTCCCGCCTGTGCCACGGCCACCCCGCGGGGAGAGCGGTCCGGGAAGGGACCCCCGAGCGGCTCCGCAGCGGTGCCCTCGTGTGCCGCCAACCCAAACCCGCGCCCCTGTGACACGCACCGCTCTGCCCCTGCCCCTGTCCGTGCCCCCACAGCCCCCCACACCCCCCTCAGTGCCAGCCCCCGCTCCCGCCGGACTCCCCCTTACCCGCGCTCCGCCGCCGCTCCGCCGCCCAGCCCAGCCCAGCCCAGCCCAGCCCAGCCCAGCCCAGCCCGGCCGGTCCGGCCCCGCCCCGCTCCCGCCGACGCCAACGGGGCGCGGGCGGAGCGTCGGCCCCGGAACGACGGGAAGCGGCCGGCCCGGCCCCGGAAAGCCGCGTCCCGGGAAACCGCGCCTTGGAACCTCCGTTCCGGCTCGCGACGGCCCTCCGTGTCACAGAATATCCTGAGTTGGAAGGGGGCCACAGGGATCAGCCAAGTCCGTCTCCTGGCCGTGCACATGGCAGCTCCAAGAATCACGTCATGTGCCTGAGAGCCTTGTCCAAACGCTTCTTGAGCTCTGGCAGGCTTGGTGCTGTGACACTGCCCTGGGGAGCCTGTTTCATCCTCTGGGTGAAGAACCTTTCCTAGCATCCAACCTAAAGCTCCCCAGTCTTCATGCCATTCCCTCGGGTCTTGTCACTGGTCACCACAGAGAAGAGATCAGTGCTACCCCTCCCCTTGCCCTCACAAGGAAGGTGTAGACTGTGATGAAGTCTCCCCTCAGTCTGTCCAGTGTAAATTCCAGGGGTTCTGGAAGGAGGAAGCAAAGCATCCTTAGTGCAGCCCTGGCTGCCCTGAGCCATGGTGACTTCAGGGCAGCCCTGCATGGCCACACAGCCAGGGTCCTCCTGCCTGTCCTGGCAGTGCAGGACACCAGCGTGCAGAGCTTCATCAGCAGCTCGCTCTTTCTCCAGAGAAAATGCAGCATCCCTGTCCCATGCCACAGCCAACGGTGGTGAGGCTGAACAATCATGGATGCAAACCTTCTTACCTGCTTTGTACAACACCTTTGTGAAGCAGCCATTAAAACCCTCCAAAACAGAGCAAGCGCAAGGTGAAAAATCGTGATTTAATAGCCATGACTTGATAAAAGCATCCAAACGAGTCTGAGGTCATATATACCATCTCCTGGAAAATGTTGCTGTGGGGAGGGTTTCGCTGGCCCCCAGAATTCACACTCCTGGGTTGCACACAAACTAAGCAGTGCTGCCACATCTCTGGGCAGGTGCCTCTGGGAGACAGCCACAGGCAGCAGCAAAGCAATCAGGGAAGTCACCTTCCATCTCCCATCAGAGGAAAAGGAGAGGAAACCACTTTCAAATAAACATAATAGAGACCCAGCAGTGTGCTGTCCCTGGTACTGTAGCCCAAAGAGGGATTTTAGAAGATGCATCGTAATTTTTTACTTCCCTGACTTCCAAGAGCTGCACGGGGAGAGTGTGTTTTGCTCTACCAGTTGGTGAGGGTGGGATTCAGGGTTCACCTCACCCCACTTCAGCATGCTAAAAGCCATTTCATGTCACTGGAATGGTTCAGCTGTGCTTGCTTGGTCAGCACACAGAGAATAGGCATCACCACAGAACAACTCATCCCACCTTCCGATGGGCATCCAAGATGCTCTTTGGTGGCACCCACTCTCTCAGGAACCAACCTGGTCCTCTAACTTTAGGGGAGATGAGAAGCTTTAGCACTCTTCTGCAGATCTGCAGCAGCCTTTCTCATGCTGGAGTCCTAACAAATTTGGTTGTAAACATCCACCCTTATATCCCAGAACAGAGAATCAGAGACTGAGAAAGCACTGCAGTATCTGTTGAAGAGGGCAAGGTGCAACAATCATTCACAATGTCCCTGGGTGCACCAAACCAAAGAGCAGTTACAGCAGGGAGAAGTTTTGGCAGTTTTGGGGTGTGCAGGCTGCTGGCTTGACCTAATGTCCTAAATACCTTGTCTTCCTATCAATTAACACCACCTCATGTGACACAGTTGGGACTCATAGCCCAATTGTTATAGGAGTCACAGAAACAAATCTGGATAACCAGAATAAGAGGTCAGCTTTATGGGTTAGTTTACAAAGAATCCTCAGAAAATGCTCATCTGAGTAGTGCAGATAAGCCATCCAGACGAGTGCACTTTGTAGAGTGGAAGAAAATATCACAGGAGAAGAAATATTAAATACATAGATTTATTATGTTTCTTTTCTTATAAATATTCAATTAATTTCATAAAAATGAAAGTAACAGAACCCTTTCAAGACAAAAGTTTAGTTTGTCTTAGAAACAATACACTTTTAGGACAAAACCAACATACTACATAAAAAACAAGGGGCCATTTAAATAAAGGACATAATAATATTCTGCTTAAAGCTCTATTGATTTCCACAAGGAATAAGGAATGTTGTAGTGTGTAGACCAGGTGTAGGACGTGCTTTGTATAGCTGTTATTTTCTTAGGTACTAAAGGAAGAACATGATGCTTTAGTGCACTTTAACAAAAAATACCCCAAAGCAAAGCTTTCTCCTCCAACTCTGTCCCTCTGTGCAATGTTTGCCACCTTCAATAGTAGAAGCAGCCAAATGCAGCTACCACACAAAACAGGCTGTCCTGGGGAAAACAGAGAAAGGCTCCGTGTTAGTCAAGGCAAGCTCTTTGCTAGCCTAGTGGAATGGGAAAACCTCAGGGAACGTTTAGACCAGAGCATCACCTTACTCTGTAATATATAGCAACTTTCTGTCTTTTGTTCACCTCATTTTTGGTGTAACCCGGGTCAGTGCATCTGAATGCCAGAAGTGCCTCACTTTCTTCCATCCACACTCCCACAGGTGTCTGGGTGCCAGTTTAAAATAAAAAAAGAATGAAGTAAAACCTCGACTTCTACTCAGTCCTGGATTTCAGCCATGCTCCATGACTGCAGTTCAGCAAAGCACAGAGAAGACTTTGCGTCTTGTGCTTCCTCTCCCCACCTGTAAAATGGCGTGACTATAATGACTTCTGTACAGTACTGTGTGACCTACTCAGGACAGAAGTTTCACTATGTTGGATATCTAAGTATGTTATGTGAATGAGGACATAAATCATACTGTTTCCATAGTCTTGGTTCATTCCTTCTACTGGTTGTGTTTTTTTCTGCTCCATACTTAAGGTCTCTCTGGCTCTCATACAAAAGCAAGTAGCCTTACACTTCCCATGGGAATCCAGCTGGTACTTACATTCATGAACACGTCGTGAGCACAGCTGTCAGTGTCAGCGTCCCAGAAACATCGCGCGGCCATGCTAAACAAAGGAGCCAGAGCAGAGACATTACCCAGAGTTCATGTGTGAGGACCTAAGTGATCACAGATACTTTCCTCGGAAACCAAACTGAGCTTTCTTTAAAGATAAAGGAATTGGGAAGTGTTCTCCTGAATCCCAAGCCTAAATCTCCACTGCTGAATACCACATGCTTTAATCCCCTCTGTATGTGGCTCAAGCTCCATCTTCAAGCTCATCACGTATCAACCCTGCTACCTCCACTGTGCAGCAGGGCTCGAACCTCACTGGTATGGTGTGTAAGAATCTTTGACTTCTGGCCTATGTATATTGGTGACTGATTTAGCTTATTTGTCCTTGTCCTTCACCTCCTGCACCCTCATGGTACATACTCCCAACTTATTTATAGGAAGCGATCGTATTCCTTGGCAGATGCCGTGTTACTAGACCACGAGCTAAGCTCTTCTAGTCTTTTTGTATCTATACCTTCTGTTCCCTGAACATCCTGCTGGACTTCTACACCTGCTTCAGTCCAAGCCTCACCCTGAGGACAAGTAACCGGACCATAACAGGGTATTACAGATGAGACCTCGCTGCTGCCTTGTCTGATGTCACTGACATTCCCCCTTCTTTGCTGCAAGTGTCCCAGTCCCTGCCTGCCCCAGTCAGTCTCAGCTGATGGGATTCCTCTTTGTGGCACACCATGTTGTTCCCAGTCCCTACATGTATGACTTACTGTTCTAAGATTGCTGAATTTAATCTCTTCTATTACCTTAGCCCTCAAGATTATCCCGGTTTTTTGGTTTTTGCTGTACGGTATTCCACTCTGCCTCTGGAACACCCTGGTTACCCAGTATTTTGCATTAAGGATGTTGGTGACCATTCATCAATATTGCCTCCTGTCTGTTGCAAACCAGAGAATTTCCCCACAGGCTGCCCTGTCAGCCTGTGTTGTTGGGCTTCACATTTCCACCTCACTGAACTGTTCACCCTGGTACGGTGCTTCTGGAGCAGTCTGCCTGCAGCTGGACATTCCTGACAAAAGCCTGAGCAGCAGGTACAAATATTTCTCTCTGACCCTCAAAACACTAAGGCAGCTCTGCTGCACTTATCTTCTGCTGGAGTACCAGGAACAATAATAAAGATAAGTCCGGCAGATAAAGCACATAAACCTTGTGGGCTGTTCTCTTTCGTCTTCTCCCTACCCAGTAGTAATAATGGAAAGCTACAGCCCACTACTGCAGCCAAGAGGAATTCTTTTGTCTCACTGCAGGCATCTGGAGCTGACTGCAAGTGCTCAGCACCCACATGGGAATTTGGCTCGGTTCCCAGGACAGTAGTGCAGGGGGATTATTAATATTTAAACTTCTGAAAAATGCCTACCTGGGATGATTAAATGTAAATGAAGTGCTTATGGAAATCTGACTTTAGACAGAAGTGAGTTACCCTGGTTCTTTTGCTCCAGCAGGACCTTGGGAAGGGATGGGGTCTGTGCCCTAGTTCATCATGAATACAAAATAAAATGCTTCTGCAACACTCCTCACCAATGCTTCTCAGCATTTCAGGTTGCTAAGAACCACCACAGAGCCCATTATCACTGGCTAATTTAATCAGCCACAGCCTAAGCCCTCAAGTGCCACTTAAAGAGAAAAGAAAGTCCTTTACACTTTATCATCTGCAGAGAGATCTTTGTACCTAGCAAAGCTGGAAGCAGCTTCCAAAGGAATAAACCACACCCAAACCCAACAAACATGATAGAAAGACAATTAGAAAACTTACTTCACTCCTTCTCCTCTCTGTTCTCCAATCACAACCTGCACCACCATTTTGTACCTGTCAAATCCCTCCTCTGGAGACAGAGAAAAAAATAATAGTGAGAGCAACAATTTGTTTAAAATATGAGCCCATAACAGGACCCTAAATGCTAAAGATTTCTGGCTACAAAGCAAGTGTCCTTTACAAGCCCATGCAAGTAGCCAAGTGGACAGATTGCCTTGTGGCTTCATTTTCCTAGCATGGAGTACCATGGTTTTACTGGAGCTAAAGGGTGAACAGAGTAGTTGGCCTCTATCAAAAGATGCATCTAAGGCAGAAGACACCCCTGAGCAGCCACACTATATGTCAGCATTCTGCTTTGACAACTTTCAAGAGCTGACCATATGGAAGGAACGTAAATAAGGCTGCTGTGGAAAAAAAATGCAAATTGAAAAAAATTGCCTTATTTTAAAACTGTTCTGATGCAAAGGTATTGTAGAGATTCTTCTGCCACACAGGTGTTTCCTTTGCTTCTGAGAGGGATAAAAGGCCCCATAAAAGCATATGTGGGTCTGTGTTATGTGTCTGCAGAGATATGCAATTGTTTTACAATAGCAAAGAAACACCTCCGGGGCACAGACCAGATCCAATCAGGCCATGGCAACGTTCCAGAAGCCAAATCAGAACAAGCATGTTTAAAATCAAATATGGATGCTAATGCCTGTCTTCGACAAAGCAGTGTCCCAGGAAGACTCCGGCGCATTGTTTCCACTGGAGGATTGAACACAACAGGCTGGGTCTGTTATAACATCCACCACGTCAGTGCTTATCAGAGATACCAGCTGATACAGCGGCCACACGGGGCCAGCCTTGCTTCAGGCTGCTGCAACTGTGTTTACACACTAGTACAGCCAAGTCCTGTGCATATGAGCTCGGCATCAACACGTGCTGGGCGTACAGCTGCTGCTGGCTTTAAAGCAGATGTGCAAATCTGGGAGAAGCATCAATCCGTGGCACCTGCTGAGGGTGACAGTCCGGCCATGCCACTGCGTCAGGCCAGACCAGCAGATGGAGCACCAGCCTGCCCCAGGAGGAAAGCAAAAAAAAAAAGTGGCTGTGCCAGCACACACATCCATGTACTTGTCCCAGCACAGAACTCAGGAAACACCTGCTGGAGCTTGCAGTTTCCTTCTTGAACTCAAAAATATTGGAGGGTATCCTGTGCAGCACCACCACAACCTTCTTCCAGTGCTGTAAGGCTATAGTCACACCCCTCCTTGTCTGACTGCTCCTCTCTCCCCCTTCCCTGCACCCTCTGAGCCTTATTCTGATCTCCCTGCTATTCCACTCTGACCCAACTCTGATCTAACTTGCAGCAGAAAAAAAGCAGGAATGGTTCTTTTTATGGAAGCAAGAAGCAATGAAGCATCACTCCTTTCTTCTTTCCAGTGCCCTTCTTTACCTCTGCAGCCCCTCCTGACATCCCACACTAGCCAAGCTACATGAAAACAGATCCTGTCTGCTTGAATTAGATCTTCAGTTCCGCAGGCGAGGAATGTATATATAGGACAGATTGTTTCATAACAGTAGACTCGAGTCAGTCAACAGGGAAGGCATAGGTTTCAAGAACAAAAGAGGAAAGAGAGATTTTGTCAAAAGGGAGACGACACGGTAAGAAGAGAAATTACTTCCTCAGCAGACCTCCTTACCTTTCAGTCTGTCTTTTATTGTCTCTGATAAGGACTTTGTAAGCTCAGGCATTTCCTCTGGGTTGTACTGTACATTGGCCAGCTTCTCCTTCAGTATCGCATGGATGCATTCTTTTACTGAGGACGATTTAAATCTATCAGAGAAAAAAAAGCAGCAACAGAAAGCCCCAAAAGTTCACACAACATGTAGAAACATACACAACCCCACTTGGGAAAATGTAGCTTTCACACACTTAAGAAAGAATGACAAATCAAAAACCACGGGGGAAAAAAACCGTGCTAAGATGGAGATACTTTACCAGCCCTGCCAAAAGCTAAACACCCATGAAAAGGTGCGAAAACAGCCTTCTTGGAAGTTGCCCCTCCAGCAGCATCCTCTACCCGAGCGCATGTCAAAGTTGGTCAGGGAGCCCAGTGCCCCCCATCTCCCAAACCCTCGGGGCTCCCCCATTCCCAACACACCCCCACAGCCCCTCCTGCCCAGGGAGCCCTCCCCGACAGTCCCACCGCAGCTCCCACATCCCCAGGGCCACCCCCCCCCCAGTCCAAGGCCCCCACCCTCCCCCCCCCCCTCCCCGCCCCCCCCACCCTCGGCTCACCGGTGCTGGAGGCCGGGCCGAAGGCTGTAGGTGTTGCCGGCCCCATCGTCCGGGCCCAGCTCGCCCATGGCCGCGGCCCCCGCAGCCTTCCCGGCGTTGGGTTACCGGGACAACCCCCGCCGCTTCCGCCGCTCCCACCGCCCGCCCCCGCCGCGTCAGCGCCGCGTCAGCGCTCGGGGGGAGCGGGATCGGGGGATGCGGAGCCACCGACCGGGGCGTATTTCCTACCCTTGCTTAAAAAAAAAAAAAGGCAACCAAACCAAAACAACAACAAAAAAACCCCAACCCCCAAAACCAAACAACAACAACCCCCCCAAAAAACCCCACAAACCGAAAACCCCAATAATTATTTCGACTAATTTTTGCGATTAAAAAACTTGCCCAATAACGTAATTGGTAAATAAATGGTAAATAACTGCTGTGGTGATTGTAAACTATTTTAATAGTTGTATTAATGGTAAAATTTTGTTGTGGAAGACACTGAGGTCCCATGAGCAGCAGCTGAGGGCAATGGGGGTGTTCTACCTGGAGAAAAGGAGGCTCAGAGGTGACCTTATTGCTCTCTACAACTCCCTGAGAGGAGGTTGTAGACAGGTGGGGGTCAAGCTCTTCTCTCAGGCAACTAGTGACAGGACGAGAGGACATAGTCTTAAGCTGTGCCACAGGAGGTTTAGGTTGGACATTAGGAGGAATTTCTTCACAGAAAGGGTGATTAAACTTTGGAATGGGCTGCCCAGAGAGGTGGTGGAGTCACTGTCTCTGGAAGTGTTTAAGGAAAGACTGGTCTTGGCACTTGGTGCTGTGGTCTAGTTGTCATTGTGGTGTTCGGTCATAGGTTGGACTCTATGATCTCAGAGGTCTTTTCCAATCTAAATGAGTCTGTGATTCTGTAAATGAAGTGTTTGATAAGGCTGCTGCCTGGGTGAGGTGGGAGGTCTGATAGAGAGAGAATGAGGTAAGATGGCCTGGCCTCTCTGGGTGCTTCCCTGATGCCCCCATCCTGCCCCAAATCAGCAGCTGCAGTCCCTATGTGCACCCTCACCCAGGATTCAGTGGGCTGGAGCAGCTGTGGGTGTCAACAGGGCAGAGAGGTCCCTGTGCCCAGAGACATGCCTGCCAGATCCCGGCCTCAGCTGGATGGGGGCTGTGATGGTGTCCCAGCCCCAGGAGCCTTACTGGGAGGGCCTGGATGCTGAGGGACAGTGGGTGCAGGTGGAGGAGAACATAGCCTGGACTCGTTGCCTTTGCAAAGCCTGTTCCCCTGATTTTTGCCTGTGTGTTGCTGCCAGGCCTTGTACTCTTTTCCTGCCTCTGGGCCATGCATCCCAGCCGTCAGGGAGAAGGTCCCAGCCTTGCTCCTTTCCTCCAGGAACTTAAATCCTCCAGAAACGCCTAAAATTCTTGCTCCCTGATATCCTTCCTTTATCATAGCCCTGTGCTCTTTTCCCTGCCTGCAGCTGCTGTCTGTCCCAAGGAAGGCTGCATGTGATGCAGCCCCTCCTGAGCTGACATTCTGCTTACCCCACAGTTTATCTCGATGCAGCGATCTCCACGATCCTTCCTGCGTACAGTGAGTGACGCGGCTGAGAAAGGTCCCTGTGCGCTTCACCCAGCTCCGAATGGAAACAGTGTGAGGGCACAGAGCGTGCTGGTGCAGAGCGTGCTGCTGCCAGGATTGAGGTGCTGGAGGGGGCCATCACTTGTGACAGGGCTGGGAATGACTGGAGGTGCCCCTTGGGTACAAGAGGTGCCCTGGGAGGCAGAGGGTACAGCTGCTGCAGTTTTGCTTGGGATGCACTGGCATATCCCGACTGGTGCCTGGTCCTGCCCCAAACTGGTCTGAGCACAGATGGGTTGATGGGATCCCGAGCAGCAGCAGCTCCCAATTTCTACAGACTTTAGCAGCACCACTTGCTAGAGATGGACCGTCAGAGTCCTTAGTACCACCAGGCTCTGCCCGCCAGTAGGATCAGCACCGCACTGCCATGCTGAAGGTGATGGTGGCCCCATGCCATACCCTTGTGGCACCTTCCCATCACAGTTACCATTGCTCTGCCCAGGCCCTGTAGGTTTCCGCTTGCTAAAGGAACATTTTCGTGCCTCTGTTCCGTCTCTCCGCTTACTCACTGCCTACCGCTGCTTACTCACACCCACGGGCTGCTGCCTGTCCCCACAGGGTCAGGTGCTGTTCCTCATGCAAATAATTTGCAGAGACCTTCCTAATTTCCAAGAAGTATCTGAAAGACCTCAACACTCTTCCGTGTTTATCTGCAAACACTATTAACTGTTTCCTCTTCTTGCCCAAGCCGTTCACCTCCCGCCTGGGTCAGACCCACAGATGTGAATTCAGTTAAACTGTTAGGGGAAGGATCTTTGGAACCTGTGGGTTTCTCTTCCTGAGCATCTTTTTGGGGTAACTTGTGTTCCTCATTTCATTTGGGAAGCTTTACTTTCCCTGGACTTCACAGTCATTTAGCTCTGGACTCCAGTCAGCTCATCTGTGGTGTTTGATCATGGCTCTTTTTCATCTTCCAAATTTTCAGTGCTCCTTAGATACCCCAGATACTTGTAAGCCATGTTGGGTCTGACCCTCTACCCTTTGACTCTGGTGATAGCTGTGTGCCCTGACAGTGATGGCTGCAGGAGACTAGAACCTCCTCTGCATCCCAGCTGTGTTGGTGGGACTCTCACCGACTCAGTGGGCCACCTTCTTGTTGGGGAAAAAAAGGACATTTGTGCTCCTATGAAGTGGTGTGATGTGCTTGCTGAAGTTACTCTCTCTTAGTTTTAAAGAACAAACTGTTTTCTCACTTGTTCCTCTTTCTCCTTCCTTTTTAGACCTTCTTTTGCACTTTTGGTGGCCAAATAGCAAAGGATTGTCCCATGGAATTCACTATATTCAAGCTCACATAAAGTGACCCCTCAGCAAACCCCCAAGGCGTACCATCCACCCCATTGGGCTGGAGGGGATTTACCAGCATGACGGGGTGCAGCAGCATGGTTTGAGCCAGGCTGTTTTTCTTGGTGCTGGAGAACCTGGCGAAAGAGCCAGCAGGAGCTATGTTGGTCTGGCAGGGTGCAGGCAGTGTGCAAAGCCTTCCTGAAGCCTGGTGGCTGCTGTGGGACTGGGGCTGGGCTCCTCTATGATGCTGACACCTGGGGCACATGCTGGGCTGGGGCACAGCACCGCTGCTCACCTCGCTTTCCTCTGCAGCGGCTTCCTAACAGCGAGGTTGATCTTTTCTTTTATTCTTTTCATCACTTGTAGTTTTTTTTTCTCAGAAAAAAGGGCATCTAGCCATTGTTGGTTTCTCGTGGACGTGGCAGCCTCCCCGCCTCGGGTACCGGCTTACACCCATTTCAAACGTGCATTGGAAAGTTTGAGCAATTCATGCTATGATTTTAATCAGAGCCCTCTGATGCTGCTGCATGGGGCGGGGAGGATGAGCCAGTTTTTCCTGCTGATCCCTGCCTTGAAAAGTCGTGATCTTGGCAGTGATACCCATCACATCTTCTGCCTTTAGAAATCAAGACATGTGGCAAGTGCCAAACAAGCCTTCCCCAACCTGGCCCAGATGCCTGGTGTCAGCATTTAGGGTCACAAAACCTCAAGGCAGAAAAGCCTCCTTGCTATAAGCTTCCATATTTCCTGAAGTTCATTTTAGTTTAGTTTAGTGAGGGTTTTTTGAGTGGGAATGCAGAAAATTGTGAAAGAAGAGGTGATGTCCACCTCAAAACCCACCTACACCCTTGCACATGGTGGAGAGCACTCCCTTTGCCACCCATCCAGGCAGCGCGGTGGCCTCTGGTCAGGTGGCATAGAGAGGTGACAAGGTAGGTGCAGTTCCCAGCCTTGCTCTTGCAGCCCAAGCAGGGCCAGCAGCTCATGAGAAAGGAATGGTGCTGCAGTGCCAGGAGGAGACTGGAAAAGAAGACCCAGGACAGGCTGGATTGAGCCACCCACCCAGGGTCAGCCCTGTCTGCCCCAGTTCAGAACCCTCTCCTTGGCCATCCCAATTTGACCATCACAGTAGTGTTAGGTTAATGGTTTGACTTATGATCTTAGAGATCTTTCCAATCTTAACGATTCTATGATTCTATGAAGTTAGGGGTGGCTCCCCCAGCCCACTCGCCTGCCAGGGCCATGTTTGAAAGTGAGAGGTGAGCAAGCCCCAGCCCTGCAGCTCGTTTCTGAAAGCCTGGAAAATAATGAAATCATCATTAGAATCACATCCTTCACCCCAATTATTAATTTTCCCCTGTGACAGTTTCCAAAATTGTGAGGCACCGAGGCTGTGTTCAAGAGAAGTGGAGGAGCTGCTTTCACTTCTGGTTATTTCCTATGCAAGTATTAGTCAGTGTGGTGAGTGGGGAACATCGATGGTGGAAAAACTATAGAAGTCTTCTGCAAATTTCACCCCAATAACAGCATCCTGGCTCTGGGCACCTGCCTTTGCTCTCTGCAAATCTATCATGAAAAAACACCCTGAAGGCAGCAAACCTTTTTCTCCTTCTCCTTCTCCTTCTCCTTCTCCTTCTCCTTCTCCTTCTCCTTCTCCTTCTATCCCATCCCATCCCATCCCAGTGGGAGCAGCCTACCAATAGGTGCCCCACGGCTACCCAGACCCTCCCTGTCTACCCAGTGCCACATGTCCCCCAATACCCCACTGCCTTGGGCACCTGATGGGAACACCCATGGGTGCCTGGGAACCCAAGACAGCTTTTACTTATGTGCCAGGCTTGGAACTGAGGACCTGTCCCACGTGGCCCCTGCCTGCTCCATCCCCAAAAAGGGTTCAGGCTCAGAGGTGCCTGTCCCTGCTACTCGGTAGCTGGTTGCCTGCGTGGGAAAGCAAGGAGGGGAAAGAGGCCATGTATGGCTCAGCTGATCCCTGCCTCCGAGAGGAGGAAGCTGGGGGCGGGAGGCAGCCCGGGTTTCCCTCTGGGGGAGAGACGGGCACGTTTCATTTCCACCCAGCCCTTGCAGCATACGACAGAGAACAAGCTGCCGCTGCGGGGGAGGCGGCACAGAGAGAGCCGGGGCCGGCAGAGCACATACAGCACAGCACATCGCATCTGCCTGGGCAGGGGACCCACCGCCTCGCCGCCGCTCCAGGTGCCTAAAAGACGACGTGGGGCAGAATGGAGGTGGCCCTGGCTGGCCTCTGTGCCATCCTGCTCTGCTGTGGGCCCACACTGGCCTGCTGCCGCCGGGGTAGGTACTGGAGTGTGCCATACTCGCTGGCATAGCGTGTGTCATTTGTAGCTCTTGGAAAATGTCTAAAGGCTAGTCTAACTAACTAAGAATCTGGCATCAAGAAGGCAAAGACCTCAAAGCTTTTGGGTACGTGTGGCTGAAACAAAGGACATGGGGATGCTTGAGGCAGAAGCGGGATTAACAGATGGGGAAGGGCACACAGCTCTGACACCAGAGCTGTGTTGTGGCACAGTGACTGTAGTTAGGGTTTGATGGGTTTGTCGGTGCCATGTGGAGTCTGGTGTTTTCTGCTCTGGCTTGGCTTCAGTCTGTGCCCTTGGGCTGCAACTCCTGTTTTGGACTTGACACTGAGGGAGCCAGGGTCCTTGCTCTGGATGAAATTTGGGGAAGAAGGAGAGGTTGAGGGGAAGGGGTGAGTCATGGCAGAGCAAATGAAGCCCTGGTGAAACTATGTTCCCCCTTTCTCCCAGCCTGACTCTTGGTGGATTCGTTTTCTGTCCTGGTGGTGGGCGCAGGGCTGGGCGTTCTTTGGAGCAGATGTTACCTCTGGTGCTGGGAAGATGCAGGGAAACGTGTAAATCCAACATCTGCTTTCAGATGTCCTCCGAACACTTCATTCATTGTTGGCACCAGCAATGACAGAAAGCAAAGCCCTGAACCTGCCAGATATTTCCTGTTAAACATGAAACACTGCAAAATTCAAAAACTGCAATTCAAAACTCTTCAAAAATTCTATCTCTTAGTGTGGGCACTGCCACAGCTGATCCTGCTGATGGGAACTGGGGCACTTCTCTCCCTCCTTCCCTCCTGTTTGATCTCGTCCCTCATTTCTCAGCCCAGTTTTCCATCTGATCTTGTATCTATTCATGGAATTGTCCAGGTCCATTTGCTGGTTGGTGACACTGAGATTGTGGTCCTACAGCCTCAGGCCAGAGCTGGAGGGACAGGAGGGACTTTCTGGCTCTCCTGTAAGCTCTGGGGCTGCTATTGGTGTTGATTTCTGAAAAGGGAAGGTAAATTTTTTAATGACAGGGACTTTTCAAAGCCTTGGTGGTTTGAATCACTTGGTCAGGTAACCCATGTGAAAAATGCCTCTTCCCACTTTTTATTGCTCTGAACAGAAATTAGTGCAACAACTACTGTGTTCTTCTGTGTGCCTGGCCCATGTTCGCAGCATCCCCGCTGCCCAGAGGGGTTGAACCTGCTGGCATAATGGGAAGGGAAATGTGGTGAAGCAGCAGGCCAAGAGGCCTGTGGCTGTAGCTGACTGCCCTCTGTGATGGGAACAACCTGGCAAGCCCATCTGAGACCCCCAGGGTGGGGGGCACACAGTTTGGGGACAGGCAGCTGGAAAGGGATGACATTGTAAGCTCCAGGTTGCTCTGACCTGTTAGGTGGTCTCAGGATGGAGATAGCAAATACTGTACCGTGGGCAGCTCCTGCCTGTTCTGAGGTCCAAGCATGGTGCAGTGGGGAGAGCCAGAGCATCCCAGCAGGCAGCCAGGCATGAGATGGGCTGCACTGGAGGGCACTGCCCCGACCCAGGACTCAGTCCCTCTGCTCACTTTCAGAGTCAGCATCAGCTGGAGGGAAGATGACTCAGACATCAAAATATAGCATAGATTTAAAAATAATACAACCCTCAACGTTTGTTTTCCCCAGTACAGTTGTTCTGTGCCAATTTTAGTTAGCGCAGAGCACAACTTGCTCTGCTGAAACCACTTCATAGTACAGTTACTAACTCTGAGGGTCCCCCTCCAGCCAGCAGGCACGCACTCAGGAGGGAAGAGGCATGGACTAATGTACCTCGCTGTGACCCAGAGTAATGAAGTGGACTGGGCTTGCATCCCAGGCTCCTGCACAGGGGGTATGACTGTTTCTGAGATCTATGCCTGCTGTAACTGGGTCTGCTCCTTGTTTCCTCTCTCCCAAACAGTGACTATCTTCCCATCAGTGTTAACTTTCCATGAAGGTGGCATAGCCACCTTCTCCTGCAATATCTCCATGGAGAGTGACTCTGGCTCAGAGTACAGCCTCAATTGGTACAAGGACACCAACCACAGCCAAGCCCAAAAAATAGCTGAGATCAGCCCAAACAACCCCAGGATGGAGACGGAGAAGTACCGGCTCACCAACCACACTCCTGTCTTCAAGATTGAGATCCGGAACCTCCACCAAAATGACTCAGGTTCCTACTACTGTGGACTGATCACCTTCTTTGAACCCAATAAATTCCTTTTGATGGAGAGCAACCGGTCCCAGCTGATGGTCACAGGTCAGGCTTGGGGCTGAGCTGATGGGTAACACATTGTAGCTCCAGGGCTTAAGGCAGACAGTACCCTGCTGGTGGAGGATCTGACATGGGTCAGGAGAGCACAGCCCTGCCCTTTCCCCTCTCCTTTGCATTCAGGGTTGAGGTCCAGGAATACAGGCTAACCTCCCTGTGAACACTGTATCTGGATGTGGTCCTGATGCAGGAGGTCTCCATCCTGCTGGGGCTGTGTCCCCAGTAATGCTGTGGGGAGAAGCAATTCTTACCCATTGATGGAGGCTGAGACCAGTGTAGGGAACTGCCTTCATCCTTGAACAGCTCCTCTGGGGACAGGAATTGTGTTTGGGGTGATGACCAGGGCTCAGACACCTCGAACAGCCAGTGTTGGTGTAGATACTGACACTGCAAAATCATGCTCTGTGAGGGTCTGATAGTCTCATGGTGTGTGAGACTGAGATCTTGCAGCAGTCTCTGCCATATCCTTGCTTGACAGCAGAGGGGCTTTGTGGGGCTCAAGCTGACCTTTTATAAAAAGGAAAAACTCTGCAAAAGTCACTGTCTTCCACAACATCTCTTCCCAATGCGAGCTGATGCTGTGCTGACCCCAGGATGTGGACATGGCAGGGAGGCCTGGGGCAACTCTGTCCTCCATGGGGCTCTGCTGAGCATAGAGTCATGCCACAGGACTGCCTGCAGGTGCAGAATGGAGCCTTGGCCCTCTGCACCCCAACTCTCAGAGGTGTGGGATCATCTTCACCACCTACAATGGGAAGGAATGGGACACATCCAAAACATCTCCCATGTCAGCCCAAAATCAGGGCCCCTGGAGGGATGGTGGGGCTGTGGCAGCCTTTCTGGGACTGAACCTGTTCTGAGGACAGCCCCCATGTTCCTCTGTTGCCTTTCACAAGAACTATAGAGACCATTTTCCACTCTTGACCTGCTGTTTTTGAATGGCTATTGCAGCAGCCCCTGAGATGAATCCCACTGAGGAGCCAGAGATAGAGGAAGGCAACCCCTCAGACCACATCAAGGCCATGCTCCTGGGCATCCTGCTTCTGGCTGGAGTGATTCTGCTGCTGATCTTTGGCTACCTCACCATCACATACAGGAGAGGAGGTACGATACCCCTGGGGGCCATGCAAACCCAGCCTGGGACTAGGGATCAGCCAGATGTCTGCAGCTGCTTGGGGTGCATGGGCTGGTTCAACATGCTAAACTCTGCTGTGACATATCCCTATGGGACAGACATCTCCATGCCTGGGGGAGATGGGGGCTTCGAGCCCTGCTTGCCCATTGTAGAGCCCCCAGACCACATGCAGTGGCTCTACACCACTCCTTGGTGTGGTGCCTTAATGCTGCACATGAAGCCCTCCCATGCCCCTTGCCCAGGCACCTTTGGAGCATCTCATTATCACCCTGCTGCAGCACAGGGCATCACCTCAGCCACTCTGCAGGCACCCCAGGGGCTCTCACAGGGGGCTCCCCTGCATTCCATTAATTCAAATTAAACTCTAGACTGTGGGCTGGTGTCTCACTTGTCCTTGTAATGCTCAGGGTGTTAGATCCTGAGTAGAGAAAGAGTGTGGTGAAATTAGTCCAGCGCTCTCTAAGGCAGGGGAGCTGGGTCAGCTCATGCTGTTGTGGTAAACAAGTCTCTTCTAACCAAGCGTGTTACTTTGCAGATGTACAGAAACCATCAAGTGAAAACATGCCAGCGGTGAGTTTTCTGCCTCTGTCTCCCTGCTGTGCTGCAGGGGAGCATTGTGGCATCTCTGGGGTGAGCAGGGTGGACCGCCTCCCTTTATCAGTCCTTCACAAGCATCTTACTTCTGCTGTCTTCTCTGCTGCTGCTCGATCTTTTCTGCACAGCTACAACTGCTTTTCTGCACCTGCAGCAGAACAGTCCCATTACAAAACCAAAAAAAACCAACGCCCCAGAGAGGATGGGATTCTCTAGTCCAACCCTTTATCAAAGCAGAGCTATCTTTGACAGTGGATTGCATTGCTGTAGAAAATGGGAGAATGTTTCCCCCCAATATATTAAGCTACAATTTATTTTGCTACATTTGGTGCCTGGTTTCTTCTCCCTTTTGCCAAGCATCTCCAGGAGGGATCTGTCTCCATCTTCCCTCCTACCCCATTAATTTGGTAGCTGAAGGCAAGGAGTAGGTTACCCTGCTCTCTCTCTTCTCTGGGCTGAGCAAACCCAGCCTCAGGCTCTTTTCATGCAGACTGTGCCATCTTCAAGCCCAATGGAGAGGTAGGAAAAGGGCTTCTAGCGCAGCCCTGCCTTCCACTGCAGGACAGGGAGAGAACTCAGCCTGCTTGCAGAGGCAGAGAACTAAGACACACATGGCTTTGCAGTGAACTAAGTCTCAAGATCTGGTTCCTCTGGGCACATGCTATCCCAGGTCTGTGCATCTTTCTGCTTTGTATCTCTCTCACTCTCCTGGGATGCCTCAAACCTGATTCTGGCACTTGCTGTAAAAAAGGGGGCTTGTGCTGGTGATGGCAGGTACCTCTGGACGTTGAATCACCACAATGGGGTTTCCTTGCAGAAGGAAGAGAAGCCCCCTGTGGTGTCCGTATCTACTGTGGACTATGGTGTGCTGGAGTTTCAGAGGGATCAGTGCACCCAGGTGCCCCCCAAGACCCAGCCAGCTGACCAGACAGAATATGCCACTATCATCTTCCCAGAGGAGAAACCCGTCACGCCGGAGCGGGGCAAGAAACGTCAGGATGAGAGGACTCGACATCTGCACTCACAGCCCTGCTGAGGATCAGGGTCCCTCCTCACCAGGGTGTGGGCATGAAGATGCTGCCCTGGTCCCTTGCTCCCACTGCAGTTTGCAGTTGGGAAAAATCCAGCATACCAGGAAACAACAGAGATGCTGCTGCTGGAGATGATATCAGACAGTCCTGGCCATGGTGTTATCGTGACCGTGGGGTGGGTACCACAGGATGAGGAAAGTCCCTGCCGGGCTCCATGTGCTGCCTCTTCACTCAAGGCAGGGAGGATGGGCTGGGACAAAGCAGTGGCATCAACAGGTCTATCCCAAAGACGATTTACGTCATGCCTCAGTTTTCTACCTCTACCCAGGGCTCTGTGGAGTGGCCTTGCTGCTTCCCTTCCCCAGGTCTGACCCAACTAGGAAAGCACGACTGTTGGAGGAAATGCTGGAGGCCAGAGCTGGAGTGGTTCCTGTGAGATGCTGCTCATGGAAACCCAGGGCTTAGGGCTTCTGCTTGCTCAGAACAGAGACTGCCTTGTGTTCTCCTATTTAAAGAAACCCCTGGGAAGTGGGCAGTTTTCCTCCTTTCTCCAGGCACTTTCCTTCTCTCCAAGAGGGGAGATCTACCCCTACGTCCTTCCGACCACAGGTGGGAGTCGAATCTGGCCATGGGGGTGAATAAAGGGTTTTGCATATGGGGTGTTTGTTCACTTGTCATGGCAAGTGCGTGGGCAGGCAAATAACGGCTCTTGCAGTGCAGGCAAGTGCTGTGCAGCACTGGGACGTGGTGGCATCTGTTGTGGTTCCTGGGTCTCTGTGTGAGATATGCAAGCTGCTCTTCCACAAAGCTGCTCTTAATAATTTCAGAGGCTGATGCTCTTTTTCCTCCTGCCCCTGTCTGAGCTGGTCACTCAGGTGCAGCTGCAAACCCAGACACCCCCCTTACCAGACTCGCCCCGGGGCACTCACTCAGCCTGTGGGGATGTGTGTACTTGCTGTGTCAAGGGTCTGGCTGCCATCAGCCAGGATACAGCTCACAGCATGGTGCTCAGTGTAGCTTTCTGGCTCTGAACTTCCACTTTCCCTCTTGAAAGAGGTGCCAGGGCTGTGGCGCCTGCCAGAAACCAGAGCGGAAAGAAATGACAGCTGCTCAAGAGGGGAGAAACCCCAGTAAGGAGTGGCTTTGAAGGCAGCAGAGACCTACTAGGAGACTGTGAAAACCAGTGAAAACAGAGAAGAATCACTTGCATCTCACACTTCAGCAGCACCGTTAGCAGGTTTTTTCTTCACTTACTTCCAGTAAGCCTCGTGGGACCCAGCCTGGGTGCTGGGGGAAGGGGTGAGGCAAGCCAGGCACCACATCTTGTCCTCTGTGGGGACTGGAAAGTCCATGAGAAACTTCCAGAGGGGACCAGATGGGATAAACATCCATTTGGGTTGTCTTTCAGCTTCCTTCAGGGTGGGAGAGTGGATATGGTGGCCTTCCTTTGTCCCTGGTGCTGCTGAAGGCTTCCAGTAGCCTCCATGGGCAGTGTTGTAACTCCCAAGACATTGACTCAGGCCAATGTGTGGTTCAGCCCATCAGGGCATTTTGCCAGCAGCAGCCCTGCTCCTTTGCCCCAGTGGCTCTGTCAGAGATCTTCTGTGGCCGGCAGGGCCCGGAAAACCAAGGCAGGAGGCAGCCACAGTGGGTGAGAAGCGTGAGCTCAGTCAGCAGTTTTGGTTTTGGCTTTCCTGTCAGACACAACACCGGTGAGAGGGTAGGCCAGTGGGCCCTGCTTCATATTTTCCAATCTACCTCTCAGGCGGCAGAGGTGCCGGATCTTGAGCCCTTCCTGCCCCCCCTGGCTGCAGCTATGACTCCTACAGGAGCAGTTGGGGCTGAGTCCCTTCCTCTCTTGGTGGATTGTGGTCTGCAGCTGCCTGGAGGCTCTCAAGCTCTCTGGTGGGGTTGGAGGTGTAGCAAAAGCATCTCCCTCTGACATTTGGGATGGGAGAATATCCAGCCTGTGTCAGTGCCTGGGCCCCTCCAATCCCCATCAGCCTTGCTGCAATCCTGCCCCTTGCAGGGAGAAAGGCTGGGCTCTGGGGATGTTTAGGGTGGGGATGCTCCAGGCTGCCAGACACCATCTCCCATCCCTATTTGGAGCACGGGGTGCCCAGCACTGGCAGAGACATGAGCTATACTCCCCTGCACTGGGCACGGCACTGACTGTGCTAGCCAGAGCAGGAATAGGGTTGTGATGAGCTACAGGTGGGATGCAGGTTTCAAGCCCCCAACTGGGCATCTCTAAACCAAGCAGTGCCTTCAGATGGGTGTCAGGCCCCACACCCCAGCATCCTGCTTGGGAATGGGGAGTGGAGCGTGTTTGTGTGCAGGAGCTGTTCTTTTGTCTTTCTGTGCAAGCCAGGAGAGCTGACGTGCAGTTTTCACTCTCCCTCCAGCCTGGTGATGGTAGTTTGGTCTTCCCAGAGTCACTGGGCAGGATCTAGAAGAAGCTGTTTTACCTCCTGTCCTGAGAAGTTCCCAGTTCTGGCTTTCCCAACTCCACCATCCTACATCCCTCCTATCATCCTATCATCCCTCCCATCCCTCCCTATCACAGTCCTCCTGGTTTTGCCCACCACTGCACCCATATCAGTTGGCCGCCGGCTATTTGCACTAACTGGCAGGTTTATGCCCCTTTTCTCCACTCCAAATTAAGGAAAGACTCAAGTAAACTCATTTCCACCTAGGATGCAAAGGTTTTTGAGGGGGCTGAGTTGACACCGTCAAGTCCTTTGGCTTTCCCTGCCCACATCAAGAAGAGACTGGGCTGTGATGGGCCTGGTGTGGTTTTGGGGCACATCCTTTCTGCTGCAGCTGTTTTGTTGGTTCTGAAGGGCTGTAGGTGGCAGGGTTTCAGTAGTCATTGGTTTAGGCTGTGGAGGGGAGGTTTGCTGAAGGTGTTTAGGCAGACCTGACCACCTGACTCTGGATTTTAACCTTGTTCCCTGCAGCGTCACAGCCACTGGGACTAAGCCCTGCACCTTAGAGTCACTGGCCACTGACAGAGTAAGAACAGGGTTCAAGACTGGTCCTCCATCCCATTTTGAGTAAATGGTGGCTTACATCAGTGCAAGAGGGAAAAGAACAAGGCCCTGAAAAATTAAATAGCACCTGGACCTGACTCTGTGTTCTCAGATGTGTCATCACTGGGAATAACCCCTGCAATGCCAGAGGAGATAGGGTTTAGTTTTGGGTCTGCCCACCTCATTCCCCTTGGCATAGTGATATAAGCTATGGAGAATGCTCCCAGCAACTTCCTCCCCTTGCACAAAGCTCAGAAGTGCACAGCAGCCAAACCGGGTGGGGGTGGTGTGCGTGTCCAGTTTTTTCCACTCTCTATCCCCCCAGAGCAAGCATCCCCAGCCTGGCCGTGCACACTCATGTGCAAGCACACACGAATGCTTGTGAACACACAGATGTGCAAGCAACTCCCCGTGCAAATTTGTGTGTACATCCCCAGATTTGCACAGTTATTCTTACCAAATACACCCTCCACCCTGCAGACACGTATCCCCCCAGCCCCTCCATCGATGTGCCAGGGCTTCTCCCGTACTGGGACCTGGGTGGAGCCAGGGGGGTGGCTGTGGGTGCTGAAGCTGCTGCATTTCCTGCACACTCTGGTCTGGCAGTCACAGCAACCGCTTCTGACCGCAGACACTCAGCACTTCCCCGAGGAGTGGCTGTCACCAATGTCAGTGTCAAAATGCTTTGTCAGCTCCCTGAGACCACACATCAGCTGTGACCTCTGGAGAACCTCATCCCTGGTCCCACCCTGGGGTCTTGATGTTGGAGAGTGGCCAGACCCCTCTGTGATATCTGAGACTGGTCCCTGTCAGCTAGGATGTGTGACTTCTCGTGCCTGAGCTATACCTAGGCAAACAAAACCCTCTACATGATGCTTGGGAGCCAACCTGGCTCCTTATATACCCCAGCCTTGATTAAAGATGGTTGGGAACAACATGTAAACAAACACCCCTTAAAAAAACCTGTTTCCCTTAAAGAAATCTGAACTTATAAACCATATATTGGGAAAACTGGGCAGGTAGATGAAGATGGAGAGACATTTGCAGCAGTGTCTTTGAGGAGAGCTATGCCATGGAGCAGCAAAGTGCTGTTCCTGAAAAACAGGGCATTGCAGATGCTGGGTGGGGGGGGAAGGGTTGGTCAGGACATAGAATAGTAAGGTCATTTTCAGGTGAGCACTGTCCTGATCACTGGGAGGTCTTGAAGATGTGTTTTGGTTTGGAAGAGGTTAGGCTGGAGATGCTGCAGCGGGTATGTGGGTTATTTGGGTTAATGAGGTGGTCTGTGCATGGCACTGGTCTATGTGGCATTGTGGTGTGGAAGCACTGCCATGGCCTTGACTTGCTGGGAAAGCAGATGTCAGTCCTGGAAGAGACAGGTTGGGGTGAGATAGTGGGTGGTGTCATTGGTCATGGGAGGGATGGGCTGTTGGGCAGGCTGCCTGGGTCCCTAACCATGGCCAGCTTGCACAGCCCTGGTGTGTCCTGAGGCGTCCAGGCCACAGCATCTCTGTCCTGTCCCACCAAAAACCTTGCCCTGCCTGTCACCAACCTGCTGTAGAATGTCTGTGTTTCCTTCCGCCGCCCTGATTTTGCTTTCTCTAGTTTTGCTTTGAGTCGTCTCCAGTTTCTTCTCTCTCTTCTTCCCTTTGCTGGGATGTGATACTCAAGGAGGGGGCTGGCAGGCCAGATCATGACACATGGGGGCTCAGAGGGCCAGGCTCCACTGCCCCAAGACCAAACCTACTGTCCATGGAACTGGGGCAGAGCCTTGTTGGAGGGTGCTGAGCTCTCTCCTTACGACTGGAGGGACCACCACAAGGCTCACCTGAAAGTCAGGTATCCCAAATCCATGTGGACTGATACCTGCCCACATCTTCACATCCACCTGCTCCATTAAATCTCTCCCCATCGCTCAGCATACTGCTCCATCCCATAAGTCCAGGGTGATGGGGCAATGTGCCCTCTCTAAAATCTGGCTTGGGCATACCCCCATTTCCAGAGGACCTGATACTGAGAGATGAAGAGGAGGAGAAAGAACCTTGGGAAACTTTCCCGCTTCCGCAGGGGCTGCTCACACAGGGGTGGGAGCTGAAGTGAAAAATCATTTCAGGTTGTGTGAAAGCAGCAGGGAAATTACCACACAGGCTGCACCTTGTGTGCTTCCTTCACATATCCCATGGAGGACCCATGACCAGCATGCCGGAATGGAGAGGATTGTCAGGGTCTGTCTCCAGCAAGGGCTGCCAGCCCAGTGGGGTCATTCTGTGTCCAGAACAGGGCTCATCCCTGCTCTCTGTTGAGGTTGAGCTACTCCCTGTGGCAGCAGCTTTGGTTTCCAAACAGGTGCTGGTAAGCAGCAAGGTGCTTGGGCAGAGCCAGGACGTGTGTGTGAAACAGAACAGGACGTCAAAGCAGTTTCAGCTCTGGGGGTGGTTCTGGGAAAGTCCCTTTAGTAAAAGTAAGTCAAAATCTTTAATAGAGGGACCAGCACCCAGCTCTGTCTCAGAGATGACTGTGAGGGCTCGGCGCATTGTGAGTTGTGATTTGAGTTGTGTTGCCATGATGTAACAGGGGACTGGTTTCCATCACAGCTGGGTTTTGGAG